CGGGTGGGGGAGGTAACGCACGGTCATGTCATATATAATCGTCTAATACAGAGTCCAACATCAGGAAGTCATGCTTTCAGGAGATACACACTAAAAAAATCGTAACATTGTTTACACTATAAGAGTAATACTATTGCTTGTGCATGTCTGAAGCGTAAAATTCTCTTATTGTGTGAATTAAAAAAAAGGGAACACTATAAAGAGTGTCTCTGACTACAAGTAACAAGGCACAGTTGGTGATCCTGATTACAACAGTAGTTTGGGATAATGTGCTAAAACTATGAGGCACACTATCAAGCCAACGGCAGCGTGCAGCGCACAACCTCCGCTCGGGTAACTGCATCGCGACTCTAAAGCAACGTCTCCCTCTCACAAAGACAAATACGCTTTAAAAAGAGCCCAAAATACACCGGAAGGCTGTCGTGGAATGATAGGCAGAGTAAAAACTGGGAGCGTTTACCAATCTGTGCTCGGTCAGTTAAAAAAAAGCCTTCCTTTTTCTTCGATGCACTTCACTAACACGTTTCTTAGAGCGCACAGGTGCTGCAATCTCATAAGCACATCGGCTGCATCAACATCTCATCGGATATTTATAATGAAATATATTTAAAAAGAAAAAGCCCCACAATCACGTGGAATGTTATGAGATTGTTAACTGCTATATATATATACACACTTTTTGTTTTCTGTGGAAACAGTCTCCTTTCACCTCGTGACTTAAAACAAAGTGCCCCTTCCTTGTACCTCGCCTCGCAACGCAGCTGACCACAAGGGGCCGAGGAGAAGCTGGAAGAGAAGGCACATTTTTGAGACAATCAGACAAAGCACCTCCTTGGGTTAAGGTTCCCCCCTGCAGCACCACGTCAGGCCTGACTTCAGCTGTGAGCGGACAAGTTGGAAAAACGAACAAGATATTAAAAAGAAATGAAAACGAGAAAGAAAAAAAGAATCCTCTCATCCACGCTGTCAGCATTTGGCGGGCTTCACGTCAGAAGACCCATGCGAGTGAGTTTGGCTGACAGGAAGGAGTGCAGGACGAACACCACTGGCTTTGGACCCGAGTGGAGATCAAACACCTGTAGGGTGGAAGGAGGGAGGACGTTAGAGAAAGGAAAAATTCAAGATATCCAAGATATTCCCTTATTCAAATGCAGATTATTGTTTTATTTGTTCCTCAACACTTTTATGGAAAGTGGAAAATATTCCAGCTTTAATGAAATGGGCTGAATAGAAACAGTTTTCCAGTTAAAAAAAAATACCTTTTAGTATTTTACTGTATAACACTGACCAGAAATATCTTTATTCCTGTTCTACAGATCCCTGACAGGTTGCATTTTACCTTAATTTTATTTCATATTATTTAATTTTACTGATCTTTATTTGCACTTTGACTTGCCTTCTGTGGATGGAAATTAATTTCTTAATCTAAGGAATATAGTCCACAATAAATAAATAAATAAATAAATAAAATCGTAATCACAATATGTTACAACCAGTGACAGTATCTCAAAAAGTCTGACATCATAATACAATTAAAAAACAGAATTAACGGCACACTATCCACTACTGCATACTGTGTGGCACAGCTGGAGCAGCTGTGTGGTGGAGGTTCTTTAGGCATACCAGCTCTCTCAGGCTAGTTGGTAGACGGAAAACTAAAATATGCAAGTGAGCTTCCGGTCAGTTTGACTGCTGTAATGTAAATTACTGTTTGTAATGCACGGGTAAGTGAGCTTTCACATCTTTTATGATAATAAAGATAGTAATTATTCATGCACCATTAGCTTCAGTTCGCCTTCTTGTTGACATTCTTTTCTCTTTTTTCCCCCATAATGAAAAACTCAACATAATTTTGGCTGGTTTAGCGTTTCAACACGCAGACGGTAAAAAAAAAAAAACATTGATGGAGATTCTGTGTTGAAAAAATGAAGCCAGTCCTAAACCTGCATTCTACCTGAAAGCCACCAGATGGCGATAGCAGGGGCTGCAAACACACTTTCAATCCTACTGAAGTCTACGGGAAACAGCAATCTTGCTGAGGACTTTATGGACTCAGTCACGTGCTTTGGGTCATTTTTTT